TAATTTTCCATTTAAATAGCTTATTAGAGAAATGTCCGTAGATTAAAATTCTGCGATTTGTTCCTTTCTATCTCTTTTAGTTTACGAGTTATTCGCAATTGAAATAAAACGTAAAAATTAAAAATTTCCATCCATTTGTAGCACTTTCAGTCGCGTTTTTAAATCTTTTACCCCATTAAATAATAATACTTTAAATTTCGATCAGATAGGGAATTTTCCAATCTTCCATAATCTATAATTTTGTAGTTGCTACCTTTATTTGTTTAGAAGATATTCATAGTCGAAAATCGTGAAAATAAAGTATCTAGCCCCCCCCCTTTTTCTTATGAATTAAAATGTCATCTCTTAAATTTCCAATTGAACTAACTTATTCTTTTCGTATGCCGAGAAATATTGAAAGTAAAAGTAAATTTCGTGTATGTGCATTTCAACATTGTGAATTTTTTATTTTCGTCTTCTCAACTACGTGTTTATCAGTACGTTTGTGTATAAACAACTTTTTTGTTCGACTGACGCGTGATATCGCTGCATACTTGCCTTGTACCCGGCTACGCGCAGCGCACACGGCAGTTGTTTCACCGCGTGGTCCGCGAGCGTGTCTCTCTAATCGTCGCGCGTTTTGAGGTTTTAATTGGATTAATCGTCGTGTATTCTTTCGGCCATCGGTAAAATATTCGCAATGGGTATGTGTGCCTGTTTTGTTTAATGATTTATGGCGGTTCGAGCCTTCTTAAGTGAGAAATAAGTGTCCGTTAATTCCGGCGCGAGGTTTCAGTTGATAGAATATATTAGAGGATAGAAAATCTCCTCATCAATGCACAGGTAGGTGGATAATTAAATTTTTTCACGAAAAGTTAAAGCGGTTTAACTTAAATTGATTATTCAATATGAAGGATATTAATTTTGTAGATTACAATCACGTGGTGGCATTTTTATCAGAATTCTTCTTGGTCGTGTTCCCGAAAATAACATACTTGATTTAATTATTACAAGCACGGTTTTTAAAATTATCTGAGGATTATTAAAATGACAATATGTATTCATGTGGTCGACCACGCTTACTTTGCCGTCGGCCGTCGGTTCGGTCATGTTTTCGATGACCACGTAAAATTTTTTAATCGAATTGCATCATTAAATTAATAATTTCTTGTTGAAATAAAATCTTGAACGGTGAATAGTTTTTCGTTTTTGCAGTCTCAATATATCTTAATATTTACAAAGAAATAGTTATTTTTATCGTCTTTAACCACTGTGTTGCTACGCGCCGTCGCTTGCCGTCTATTGATTTAAATGTTTTCCGCCGGATATTCTATCAATTTATGATGATGCTTCACCCGTCGGTTACTGTTTTACAGTTGATGCTACCATCAATTAATAAATATATATTCACAATATATTAAAGTGTAAGTGTTTTATTTTTGTAGCACCTTTTTGCTCAATTTTCCGATGTTTTTCGGGTAATATCTCTGATTTTATATTAAAATATTGTTGTTAATTTGTAGTTTCTAAATTTTTTGTAACACCCTGTATATTAGTTTTCCTAACAGCACGTAGAAAATCACCTTTAGTTGTGAGTTTTGAGTGTTCTCTGTTTTGAACATGGGATTTTTTTTATTGAACACCCTGTGTATATACATATAAATGTTTTCCTTTGTGGCCGTGAAAATTTTGCTTTAGCTGTCATTTTCAAGATTTTCCCTTTTGCACTTTGAATTTTCTTTCTGGAACACCCTGTATATTAGTTTCCCTGACCGTCGAGTGAAAACGAGCGGCGTTTGTAGTGTTGAGAATTTTTTCTTTGCCCTTTAAAATTTCCTTTTGCAACACCCTGTATATTTGTTTCCATTTTCAATGACGTTGAAATTGTCCTATTTGCTAATTTCTTTATCGCGGTAGAACTGTTGAAAGTGGTACTTGTTTATATGTGCGCAGCTAAGCAGATCGTAAGTCCTGTTTCAATATGGCGACATGTATTTTGTTGACTGGTATAATCTAAACTTGTATTGTATCGAATTGTATTTGTTAATAAAGAAATGTTAAGAAAGATTTTGACTTATGGTTTGCATGTACCCCTATCTATCATTTCAGGTACAGGTCTCGCCGAGAGTTCCCTCTCTCAGGGGAATCACCACTATAAAAATTGTTAAGGTATCCTGTGTGATTTGTGTGCTCCTTCTTTCATTTCAGCTACAGGTCAGAACTTGTAAGAATATTTTTAAGTGTCACCTCTCTTGAGGCGACTTAAAACTTAGAAATATTTTTACAAAACCTTATAAGGATTGTCCTTATAAGGAGTTCCCTCTCTCTGGGGGTGACCCCCCACCATAAAAATTGTTGATATGCCTGATAATTCCGGGGATGAAGCGCAGAGGCATCGTAGCTGTAGGATGGGCCGGAAGCAATGGATACATCGAAGCAGTGGGCGAATCGACCAGAGCGCCTCCGGCGCTCTGGAAGATCGACCTGTAGACTGTCTTATAACGACACGTGCCAAAAAATTTAAAAATCTGATCCACTCCTGTGGCTCTTTCCTTCTATCTTCTCCTATTCTCTACTACTCCTTCTTCTTCTTCTACTTCTCTGTTCCTCTTGCTGCTTTCTTATTTCTCATATTGCTTCACTTGTATTTCAATTTCTCTTATATTTCGTTGCAATTCATATATGCAACCCAAATTACACCTGTAATTTTTATATTTGAGAAAAATGCCTTCCACAACTGAGATTCGATCCGTGTCTACTAGCATGCTAGCAGGTGCACGTACCCACTCGACCACCGAGTGTTTTAATCATTAATATTTGATTCTTCTATTTATGTTTATACTTGATTCAACTTTTTAAAAACAACAACACAGCTCAACTATGTTGACTTATAGGCAACATGACTTACGGCGTCAATACTGAAAACGACAAAGAGGATACCACACGGAAATATGCATGAGATACATTGTGTACATAATTTTACATAGTGTTTTATTGAGAACAATAATAATAGATACATTTTATAAATAAAAAAATATCGACAGCTAGTAAATTCGGGAGTAGTCAAAATTTGCCTTAAAATACGCACATCTCCAACACTTCAGCTATAGATATTGCAAATTCCATTCGTGCATTTACAAACTTTTTTGTCTGAGCATCAAAGTTGTACATTTGCAGTAATTAATTATAAATCCAAGTACTTCTTATGTGCGAAACGATAACTGATTGCCAACGGACACGCACAGGTGAATTAATCCACGATTGATAAAGACAGCAGTGTGCAATCACATAAATTAAATACCTGAACAACAAATATGCTTAGCCACGCGAACGTACTTATCCGACGGCCACCACGCACGTCCCACAAATAACTACCACACTGGTCTGTTATTACGAGTACTAAATGTCGACCAATTCTAGTTCAATTCCAGAATTAAAATCTTTAGTAACGCTAACAATTGTCACGAAGTTTGATTACTGAACAAAACACGTGCACACCACACCACGGTGCCCGAACGACTAACCCGGACTAAACAAGAACGACAATTGATAACCGACCCACAGTTGGAAGGACAACAATCTATATTCGTAAGTTAAACACAACAACGCGACTGTCAATATTTTGGTACACAAATTATCTGCTGTAAATAACAGAAAAAATGTGATTTGAAGCAATTAAATTACCGTACTTTTATTTTATGTTTGTAGGTTGCTCACAAGTTATAGATGAAAGTGATAAAGATTTAAAACTTACAATAACAGCACGGTTGTCCTACGGCATCCTATTCGCCCGCTAGACACCTACAACCACAAAAATTAGAGGGTCAAAAAACACAAAAAGGGCATTTTCATAGGGTTTCCAAGGAGTAAACCCACAAATTATATACAAAAGCGATAGAGAATTTTAATACCTACAATTTAGTGTAAGAACGGTTATCCTACGACATCGTGTTCGCCCGCTAGACACCTAAAATCACAAAAATTAGAGGATCAAAAAACACAGAAGGGCATTTTCATAGGGTTTCCAAGGAATAAACCCACAAATTATATACAAAAGCAATAGAGAATTTTAATATCTACAATTTAGTGTAAGAGCGGTTATCCTACGACATCGTGTTCGCCCGCTAGACACCTAAAACACCTAAGCACACCAAGACACCTAAAACCACAAAAATAAATAAATAAACCCGAAAATAATGTTTAAATATTAAAATTGTTGAAAGTAGAATGGTATTGTTATTGTTCTTGCGCTAAAAAAATTCACACAAAAAACAAACGTGGATTAGCTACACTAATTAACAATTACACAATATATCCAATCAAAAATTCACTAGCTACCGATCTCCGGGTGCCGACGGATTACCAATAAATCTTTTGACGGCAGACACAAGAAAAACTTTTCCACCCGAAATAAATGAATTAATTGTACATCACAATCTATTAGTAAATATAGTCAGTGGTCGATCAATTGTAATGCAATAACCAAGTTAAATTCTCAAGAAACGTGAATTGTCGCTATAAAGATCGACCAACGAACAAAACACGTGCTCGCCGCACCACAGCGCTCGACCGACTAAACAAGGTAAACAATTGATAGCAGGCGCATCGAGGATGATAGAAGCGCCACTAAATTCAAGCATACAATGCAAGATTGCGTCCTATTACAAGTTACAAAATGTAATACAAACATTTATTTATAAGGCTGTAACTGTGTTTTGTATAGTATTTTTAGATTACAAAACCACACTACAATTACTACGACGGCGACAAATTCAATAATAATTAAATTAACTAAGAGTCAAAAATTGGTCATATGAGAGGGTAAAATAACACTATTACCAGTATGCTGCTATACCTCCTTGAGGTTGCCCCATTGAAGAAAACTTTGCAGTTCTGCCCGTCGGGAGTGACATGAGGTATCATGTGAGGTACATTTTCACGAACAAAATGTATGTGAAGCTGTTAAATTTGACCTTAAATTTACTGTCTGAAAGTGCACATTTAAATAAATAACGCCAACGTTCGTTATATTTTATATTTCCTTCAAATATGCAATTATTAATATAATCTTTAATATTCAATACTTTCACTCCTAGTTATATATATATAAATCAGTTATAATAATATTATTAACATTGCTTCATCACAATTTAATATACATTTTGACAAACAATGAAAGCGATGTTAATAAATATTACCACAACGCTTTTTTTCATAATCGTGTACGACACAATTACTGGTAGATTATTTGTATTATTAGTATGTAAACGAGGAGGGGTCGTGACAATATAGATAATCTAAGATTTTGGTCCTAACATCTTCATAAATATCTTTTTCTTCTTAAACATATTACTTTTGATACTCATTGAATCATATTACATGGTAAAAATTCTGTTTCATACACTCTCCAAGCAGCGCAGTTAACAAACAATTGCACAAAGATTCTTATTATATAACTTATCTATTTTAATACTGAAATATGAAGCTGAAAATTATTGAAAATGAAAGCGAACAACATATTTGGAAATATACTAAATATATTGAACCCTTTCATTTTCATGTTTCATATTCATTTTATAAGTTCTGCCTTACTACAATCGATTATCGTTTTATCACAATTAATTTAATGGTAATCGATTGCAGAGATTTCGTGGAAAAGTGCATTTTAGCAAAATTTACAAACGTATCAAGTGTTTGCTAAAACTCACTCTGTTATTCAGCGAATGCTGTTTGACTTAAACTTTCTTAAAATGTTAACGTAATCTTTACATGTATATACAAAAGAGTGTGTTAGTGATGTAACAATAGTTTTTATTCGTTAAAAGGCATAAATAAAAGGTATAATCGTTTTCCCCAACCTTACTTAAAACGACGTTCGCGATAACTAATAAAAACAGTTTAAAATTAAAACAACAGTTCATCTCACAATTGTCCACTAGAAGAACTCGAGGAGCTCTCGTCCTCTGAATTGCTCTCAGAGATCATGGCTTCGCCGGCCAAGTGTTTAGGTACTGGGAGCGTGTTACCATGCTTTCGTCCAATTTCGCTGGGCAATTCTGGCAACCGTAGATCGAGCAAATCTTCCTCCTCGTAATCTCCAATGCAATACTGCTTCTCATCGAATCGGTGTTTGACGTAAGGCGAGCTGACAACGACGGGGCCCCATTCGAAATCCTCCGTCACATCAGTACGTCCGGAAATAGGGCGCATGGTACACACTTCGGTCTTATTTGTCGGGATGCTGCTTGCCGAAGAACTTTGCATTAGACTGTTTTTCCGTGGCCGTTTATTAGCTGGTGACTTCGTCGGTGTATTCTTCGGTGGTGTGGCATTCCGGAAGCTACGTCTAACAATTCGTGAAGCAACAGTTTCGGGGCTCTCGTCCATCTCTAGCACGTAACTGACCGAATCCGATTTCTCGACGACGCCCTTCACTTTGGGTGAAGACGGAGGAGAAATATCATCGAGGTCCGCATCTTGCGAACTTCTCGACTTCCTGCTCGTGTTGCTCAATGTGCTCATCTTACGATCTCGAAATGACAGAGCACGTTCAAAATTAGGATGCTTTGGTGTGCTGCTGCTGCTGTGACGCTCGTTAAAGCTTGAACTGATCAAGGATCGCGTAAACGCCGCCTGATCCGTCCCTTCAAGCGCCTTAAACACCTCCTTGTTCTGTTGTAGTCGCCATTGCAATTCTTCGTTGTGCAGCCGCAAACGTTGACTTTGATTCACCTCCTCCTTAATCGATTCATTGAGTTTCTTATTCTCACTGAATAGATTCAGTTCGCATTCATTTTTGCGCTCCAGTTGATGATGCAAATCCTCGCACTTAGCGGTCAACAGGGCTATCTTTTCTTCGGCAGCAGGTAGTTGGTCCGCTTTATGAGACGCTTCTGCCAAAAGTTTACGCAATTCGGCAACCTCTCCTTGCTTCAGATCCAACACGGCACGGAGTGACTGCACCTCCTGGAAGGAGGTATCTCCATCACCTCGTTGAGCAAACCATGCTTCTTTTTCCTCTCGTAATCGAGCAATTTCGTCATAGGCTTCTTGAAGTTTGACTTCTTTGGCCTCGTAGTCGTGCCTTAACTTTTCACTCTCATGTTTAAAGTGTTCCAAGCACCTGATTTTATCATTCTTTTCATCAATTTCTTCTCGAATGGCATCATTTTCTTCTCGGAGGATGTCGAGCGATTCATCGTGCGTCTTTTGTAGTTTTTCAAATTCCACTTTGACGTTGCGCATCTGTTCTTCGTGTTGTGTTATGAGATTATGTTTCATAGTATTCTTGTCTATTTCAAACTGATTTAAAGTATCGTGATGTTTGGCATTTACTGAAAAGTACAACAAATTAATTATTAATTATTGTGTACTATGTAAAGTACGATTAAAAAATGTAAAAAGCACTTACATTCAATGAGTTCACTTCGATGTTTTTCAATAAGATGTGCAATTTCTGCCCGGTACTTGTTTCGCTCTTCCTGCACGACGCTAGAATGACGCTGTTGTTGTTGTCCCAACGATTCCTCAAGTAATCCACACGCCATTCGGGCTTCTTCGGCGTCCAATTTCGCCTTTTCGGCTTCTTTTCGCAGACCAGGGTTCTTGAATGCTTCCAACTGCAACATAAAAAAGTTATTATTAGCAACAAACCTCAATCTGAAGTACAGGTAAAAAAACTGAAAATCAATGACCATCGAAATGCAAATCCAAACATAGATTTTAAAAGACACTTACACTCTCTGTGATCCGCTTGAATTTGTAAATTTTTTTACTCATGCCCATTTTTAATGTTATAAAATTTAAAAGTAAATAAAACTTAAAGTTTATAGTAAAATGACTAGATATTTAACTTCTGACTAGAAGAAGAGATGTGGTGTGATCAGTAGCTGACCGGTAACTGATGATCCAAAACTAACATGCACTATTTATGAAGAAATTTTAGGGCAGTTTTCAACGCCATCACACTTGGGTTAGCGTGGAACAGATTACGAACACCCATGCATAAATATTACTGAATGAGTTTGCCCTCACACCCCGGAGATATTTTTGACAAACAGTTGAAATTTGCATAATCTCTTGCAACCCAGATTAGCAACAAACGAGAAAATCTCATAAAGTCATAAACATTACTTATCCAGATAAAGCAAACAGTGAAAGCTAAATAAAGCTTCTGGTCATGAAATATTATGAACTAATTCTTCTAATCCCCAGATCAAACCTCTAGTTATAAATCAAATGCGAAGCGTCTCCAGTAGTTTAATTATTGTAATTGTTTTAAATTTTCGAATCATTCTATTGTTTGTGTTAAATTAGACCATCAACTACAAGTCATTTATATATAAGTTTATTTATATATAACAACTAAACAACAACCTGAGGATGATTTACTTTAATTTAAGTGAATTCTCATTTTTAATCACTATCAATTAGCTAAACATTAAACATTGTGTAAAAACAACAATCAAAAACAACGGTTAATCAATCTAAAACAAAACTATCACTGAGCTCAATTTAGTATCAACAACTGTAGTGTACGCACATACAACGAGTACATTATATTCAAGAAAGCTGTAGAAAATTACATATTATTGTTTACGATGCGTTTGTGTTCAAACTGTTCCGAGCCTAGTCGATCCGCCTCCTTGCATTGTGCACTGTACGCCAGTTTCCTCTAGTTTAGGTTCGTTGATCATATAACACTAATTAAGCGACTACTTATGCAAATATTCCGCATTAAAAAAACTAGTTGCAAAGGCAAGATCGGCCCAGCGGAACGTAACGTTTTGGATGCTAGAACTTCTTACTGATTTCGAAACAGCGAAAGTTTTTCAATTCCCAAAACATAACATATCTACATACTAAAAGCACCAACACGCAGCCCATCAAAAAGCAACAGTGTGTCGAAATCAATGCTTCTAATTTCCATAGAATGCTCGAGAAACAATATGCAAACCAAGAAGGCCCACAACAATCGAAAAAGTCGTAATGCGCCAAACTCAGGCATTCGCGTCAACCGTTATTACCGAGAGTGGCTGGCATTCTTGCACTCTCGGCAGGTGTCGGGTGCCGGCGCTTGTATCAGGTATGCACAAGTATCTAGGAGGATACCGAAACAAGAATACAGCACAAAGCGTAATGAGTTTTTCGCCGCTAGGGTCCTCAAGAGTATTGTGTACAACCAAAGGGCATAAGTAGTATCAGGTCTCAATGGGGAAACACACAAATTCAACAATTTTTGAGCAGATACGCACAATGTATTAGCTCCGCCACGATTGTAATCTACTTACATTGAAGACTAAGTGCTGGACGAGTACAGCCAGGGCCTCGGCAGTACGCGGTGCTGGCAGCTGCTGCTTGACCGCTGCGCGCTGTTGTTGCAATTGGGGTCGGTTGCTGGTCGTCGTGACGAGGCTCCCTTTCACTGTAGCCCTTCCAGTATCTAGAACAATAGAATGTTATAATTAAATACCTGTGATGCGGATAATTGGTACATCACGACTACAAATAGATTGAATTGATTGAAAAGGAGGAATTAATAAGAGCAGAATTCATTCTAGAAGTGAGCGATTTGATGAAGACAATTCTGAATCATCAGAAACGGGCGTTTATTTTTTGCCGCTTCACCATATTTGTCAAATGATTGATCTAATCAAACACCATTATGCCTAATATAATAGGTAAACTTAACTTTCACGCCTATAATATAAAACAAAATCGGAGCACAATTTAAAGATCCTACTCATAAAATGTTAAAGTAAACGAGCATTTGATGAGTGACTTTCTTGAATCGCATGAATGAAATCAATAAAAAAAGTCGCGCATATATGGTGAGAGAACAAACGTGTTCCTCCATGTTGGGGCTATTCGAAAATGTGTTAATTACTAGGATGTGATTGTAGATTGTGTTGTTATACACAGCACCGGTGTTAAATAGAAATTGATGTTCCAATAGTGCAATGTATCAACAAATTCCGTAAAATACATTTATTGCTGTCTTTATTATTCTAATTAATAGCAAACTTTGCATGATGTTGAATTTCCTTCCGCTGCAATTCAACTATGACTTTGTTTTGTCGCAAACGATTATGCTTATACCGAAAGGTTTAGCACGCCGCGTGCGTGCATGGCCGTTAAGTTAAAGCATTATTTTTTTAGGATATCCGCTCTGCGCAATGTGCAGACCTTCGTTAGCGTTGACAGGCATCTCTTGGTATACCAATCAACACCTTCTTATAAAGCTGCCATAAACATGGTCGGTTTCTGTTCAAACAAAAAATTCGATTCGAAATGAAAACGCGGTTTAATAATTTGCACCGGATTCGAGTGCGTTGCCTGGGAAAAAGCACGCGTGAAGATTGTGAAATAGAAAAAAAAAACATATATAAACCAGTATGTACTTTCAAATGTCATTCGTTTGAATTATTTTTATTGACTACCAGCCATATGCTGGAAACTTCAAAAGGCGTTTGTTAATGTGACGAATTTTTCCACGCAGAACTCAACCAACCGTTCTATCAAAGCGAAAATAAAATTATAAATAAGCACGGAAATCATCGTTTTCGCTTTAATTTACAAATTGTACCACAGCCATAACAACTAGAAATTAAAGCGCGTCTTCATTAGAGACACAAAGAAATTGTTGCAAATTTCATATCTTTATCATGTTTAATAATTCACGTCTATTTAAAGAAATTATAGAATAGCCAGTGAAAAGAAAATTAATCACTACTAGCGGTAGAAGACGGAAGTACACATTGAATAAAAGAGTACTGAGTGTAAAATGACTCGGTTGGTGGATAACTAACGGGAAATTTTGAGATTGCACAGTCAAATAGCGAAATTAGCAGTACATGCAAACAATTTATAATTCGCAAACAAACAATAAATCAATGCAAGCACGTAAATATCGAGTTTTATGAAATCTGTAGGTATTTGCGAAAATGAATGTTAAATTAGAAACTTGAAGGCAAAAAGGCACACGGTAAAATATTAACATCATAAACAATACAAGGCGTCTTTTATTCCGCTTGCAATAATTATCTTTGCGTGTGCGAATAATTTAGCGATATGCCATTAACGTCGTCGACGGAGACCGTTAATTTCATAGAAGGTGATAGTTGAGAGTTGCAACTTTCATCTTGGTTCTAAATTATGGTGAACGTGATGCTAATGAAATTAATACAGCACACTGCGGTTAATTGTGTCGTCATGGCTCTACATGCAGCCGAATTAATTTTAATTCGCCTTCCGGCGATGCAGCGCCAGCAGCTTTTTACTTCTGAGCGTGTCATTAGTTGGTAAACATAGTCAGTCCCTGCTCAGCCTCTCTAAGGCTATTTTTGATTTTCAATGTCGTTGGCAAATCTGGATTACGTAAATACGCATACAAATAACTTTTCTTACAAACGCTTTTTAAAATTAATTGAATATTTTCAAACAAACACCAGGGAATAAACAATGCGTCGTATAATTAATATATCCATAAAAGGCAACCGTGCACTGGAAGTTTCTCGGCAGATTTTCCTTATTGCCATACAACATAAAACAAATGGTGTAAGTACCTTTTGCTTCTTCAACAATCATTATTCCGTACGCAATCACCAGTCACCATTGTTGTACTTTAATCACAAAACTACTTAAACTACATCACTACAACAGTTATTGTGATTTTTCAATAATCACGCTCACATTGTCACAACGGCACACGACAGCCGGCTTTATGCGCACATTTCAGACCAATCAAACTCCTATTAATTCGCGTCCGCGCCGACAGAAACAGAAGGCAAAGTAAACTCTTCAACGATCATCAATGTATCGGACGCGTGCTGCCGGCCGCTAACAGAATTTTGCCCGACACCGTTATCGATGGCTATGCGTGGAAAATTATAATGACGCGTGGAAGAGAGCGGGCGCGCGTAATTTGCATTTTAAAATCGCGAATATGCAACGCACGTACCGCACATCGCGCAAATCGCCAACACGCATGTTCTTTTAGTTCGTGCGTGTTTCGAAAGATGCAAAATAATTATGCTTTACGTTTTAAACGCGACCGTTTTTTTTTTTAACTCTGGCGGTAAAGCGAAAAGTTTATATCCGAATGATCGACCGTGCTAAATATAACGCCAGAGGCAAAAATACGCAACTCAGCTAAACAACGGATGTCGCGAGAAAACGGCCGGAAAACTCGTTATGCCGTTCCGCTCGGTCCTCGACTTCGCTTTTTATGTAAGCGCGGCCCGCAGTGGACGCGTGAATACGTTCGCGAAAACTGTTTCGAAACATACGCGACGCTCGCCGTTGTTTTCCCACGTACGTTTAACAGCCAACTGACCACGCATAGAGCTCGGGCAATTCTATCCCAAGCGGCAATTCCCAAGTACGCAAAAAATGTTGGCTGAATTTAGAATTTGAACATAAAAGTGGTCAGCAAATACGATAATTTGAAATTCAAACAAACCAAAACATCATAAAAATGCATTTACTCAGACTTTATTCATATAAACGTTTGATAGCTTTTAAGTAGTATAAAAAAAATGCCAAACAGCACCACATGGAATTATTCCTCGCAAAGATATTCAGAAAGTCAATTAAGAATACATCGAACGTCAGTGCATATGACTTTAACGTTGTTGTTTAGAATATTTGTTGCGTCAGTTATTTAGGCCGGCAGAACATTTGTTTCCCGTGGGCACAGTCCATCACCGATTCGCTTCCGAAATAAAAACTATTTGAATGCGTGCCAATTGATCGCCATCAGAGGCATAGCATAACAGTCTTACTTTGCTTCTAAGCTCAAAAAAATCAATGAGCAAAAACATAACATAAAACAAATGGTGATAATTTCTTTGATTGAAACCGATAAATCGTTTTAAAATGAATTGCAGTGTGACTGCATGAATTTAACGAGCAATTGCAATACCCGGACAAATAAATAATGCATTCATTCTCGAGAAGTATCAATTACTAAGGTCACATTTCAAGAATAGGCGCAAAATTCTATGGAGTTAGAATGCAAAACTCACAATCAGACCAAAATACACTCACTCGTCAAAACACCTTTCACGATTTAATTTGAAATCTAATTGTAAATTGAAAAACCGCAATAATAAAGCGATTTATGTGCTTGTCACACGTTCAAATGCAACTCGAACGTGCACAGTATGCAAACACATTGCAAATTTGAATGTCAGTCAGTTCTAATGGTGATCAGGGCTTAAATATCATTATTAATAAACGTTGCATAGGTAATTTTCAAAGAACATAGTAGTTAACAAGCTAAGAGATTGTAAGAACGTACATACAATAATTGTTAATGAAGTTGTATATATGTTGAGATGTGCTGCCGACTTCACTTTTAATTGTTGCGTAATTATACCGCTATAGTGAAATCGGAGATGTGGATTTTCGCACAATATCTTTTATGCATTGTACTCTTTCATTCAGTGTTGCAACACAATGAACTTTTGAATAAAAGTAGAGAAGAGCCGATAGCTTTCGAATGTGTTTAATTAAAAATGCGCACATGAGAAACTTTTTAGCACAAGCATTCCTGTCAGCCAGGCATTTATTAAAATACCCGGAATACCAATGAAGAAGAATTTTCGCCCCTTCCATTTAAATTTTCACTTTATTGCAAAATCTATGGTTCTTTTATATCACAGTCTTAGTCCGTTTTGGTAAGAAATTTAAACATTTTGCACAACACACTAATGTGCGTGTAGTTTTCTTATATTATAACGAGATAGATGAAGCGATTAGATGAGCTTAATGTCGTTGACTTGTGCTATACGCGTGGAGCATAAATTCATTTAATTTGTTGATTGTTGGTGTCGATAGCCACTTTATGAGACTTTAACAACGTTGCTCATGTCATGGGTTGAAAGCGCGTCGGAAAGCTGAACCTTTGCATGCAAACTCTGCCGGCAGCATGCATTAAAAGTTAAGCAACTTAATTCGGCTAATGTTCGTTGTTGAAGGAAACTGGAAACTCCAAACTCTAGCCTTCTCGGATTCAAGGTTGCAACACCTTAACATGATTTTCACGTAACTTTAGAATAAAATCAAAACCCATTTATCACCTTTAAAGGTTTCTTATTTTACCTTTTTCTCTTTTGTTATCATAAATTATAATTTCACGATGGAAAATGTAACTTATCCGTTCCAGCGTAGCCATCGTAAATATTTTATGAGTTGGGCAGCCTACACAATCGAGATTGTATCGTAAAACATACAAAAAGATTACGATATTTTGTTGTGTTTTTCATGCCGGCGCTAATAAAAATCGAAAAGGTTTAAGATTTAAGTCACTGCAGTTTGATTATATGAATGAAGCACTTATTATTCAAGAGGACCTTGAATACTAAGCTCTTGGGATGTGTGCAGGTAAATTTTACACCGGGTTTTTCCAAAATTCCCAATCGGCTCAAGTGAAAGAGGTAT